ACGACAAGGCTGTGTATTGTCCCCCTGCATATTTAACTTATATGCAGAATACATCATGTCAAATTCTGGACTGGTTGAATCCCAAGTCAGAATTAAGATTGCCGGAAGAAATATCAATAACCTCAGATATGCAGATGATACCACTCTGATGGCAGAAGGTGAGGAGGAATTAAAGATCCTCTTAATGAGGGTAAAAGAGGAGAGTGCAAAAAATGGTCTGAAGCTCAACATAAAAAAAACCAAGATCATGGCCACTGGTCCCATCACCTCCTGGCAAATTGAAGGGGAAGATATGGAGGCAGTGACAAATTTTACTTTCTTGGGCTCCATGATCACTGCAAATGGTGACAGCAGCCACGAAATTAAAAGACGCCTGCTTCTTGGGAGGAAAGCGATGACAAACCTTGACAGCATCTTAAAAAGCAGAGACTCCACCTTGCTTACAAAGGTCCGCATAGTCAAAGCTGTGGTTTTTCCAGTAGTGATCTATGGAAATGAGAGCTGAAGGTCCGCATAGTCAAAGGTATGGTTTTTCCAGACTCTTTAGAGCCCGGTGGACTGCAAGAACATCAAACCTATCAATTCTGAAGGAAATCAACCCTGACTGATCACTGTCCAACACATGGTTGGACAGTGTCATCGAAGCTACCAACATGAATTTGACCAAACTCCATGAGGCAGTAGAAGACAGGAGGGCCTGGCATGCTCTGGTCCATGGGGTCATGAAGAGTTGGACATGACTTAACCACTAAACAACAACAGCAGCAAATCATTTCTCACATTTATATTCTTCCTGATCCAAAAGAGGATTGTCAGAGCAGGTAACAAGCAATATACATATGCCAATATCTACCACACTATTAGCTTCTTAACAGACTTAACTGGATAGAAAGAATCTTCCCCGGCTCAAGTATCTTAAATCACTCCTGCAGATTACAGGTTGTGTTAATTAAGCATCGTTATAGCCTCCCAGCTACTCAATACATGCCTACATCCAGTGCGCTGAATCAAAAATTTGCCCAGGTCTTCTCTACCAACTGCACAATATCAGTTCCCATTTGGAATTAATGTCAGCACATTTATTTTAAGAGCCTTCTTCTATATAATGCATGTTTACACTGAAGGCAATTCTGGTGTCAAACTTTAACATGCCTGATGGTTCTTTAGTGCTAATGTATAAACATCTGATAATGTATCTCATTTGTGGATAGATATTGGTGAGCTAAGGAGAAGCATTTGCTGGAGCTTCCTGGAGACACGCCATGAGTATCAGTGTTATATATATATATATTCTTTTACATCTTATGAGTTTGGAAATAGGATTATCAAGGGAAACATTATTTAAAGCCACTTAAGGCACTGAACTCAAGATAATGGCCTGATTCAGTATAAGAATCAGCAGGGCTTCTGTATGACACAAAACAGCAGAAGCTAGGAATGAATAATAAAATTAAATAGCCATCATATAATAAAGAACAACATTTCTGTTGAACAGTCTGTTTTATCTTGTTGTCAGTACAGCAGTGGATAAATATAGACTTCTAGAAATATCTAGAAATTTACAAGATGGCATTATGTCCAGTCCTACTTTTTGCCACCTGTTGTTGCTGATATTGTTTTATCAAAAGACAGGTTTGTGGAAAGACTGCAGAAATCCTCAACATCAGGAGGAAAACACTGTGATCTATGAGATTAGGAGGAAGCTCAAGACAGCAGCATGTGTCGCTGTAGTACATACATCTATATATTTTCCAGTGAATATCTGGAATCTGGTGGTAGTCAACATTCACATGTGAATATTAACAATCCCAGACAAACTTCATGTATTTTCAAACATCAGAGATCCACCAGTGATTTTACAGTTCCCTATGCTTCTTTTTGTTAACTGCATTGAGAACACTATTGCAGTGGCCTAAAAGTATGATAATCATGCAAGGAAGCAAAAGGATTCACCAAGGAAAGCTGTATTCAAAATCAGCTAAGCTACTGGTCCTGACACTAGAATGAGACAACAGGAATGTACACCACACATCTTCAGTAAATCTATTTTACTTAATTACATACTCTAGCACAGGAGTCTCCAAACTATGGCCTACGGGCCACTTCTGGCCCGCCTTGCCCTTTAATTCAGCCCATTCCCTTCAACTCATGCATGGGGGGTGTGCATGCGGGGGCAGGTGGTGGGATTTGTGCATGTGTGTGGTGTGTGTGTGGAACGTTCCTGTTCCTTTGGCCCTCAAAAATGTTGAAAATATCTGGTGTGGTCCTCATGATCAAAAGTTTGGAAGCCCCTGCTCTAGCATACAAATTGAGAAGGTAAGAGTTCTCTGTTTTTGAACCACACTTGGGTCTATCTAATCCATCTTTCTGTTTTTATACCAGTGGCCAATAAAATACCTCTGAACATTTGAACATAAGGCAAAAACAAGATGGACCTTCTCTGTTTGCCCCTAATACCTGGTTTTAAAAATTATATGGCTTCTGAAATAGAACTTTCATTTGACTTTGAATTATTAGTATGGGGAGAAGCAATGTGCATACACATGCCAGCTCTGTACACCTCCCCAGCCCATGCTCCAATGTTAGAAATAAAGCTGCCTCCATAAATAGTACCTCTAGAAGCCCATGAATTGTAATAATTGTGGGCATCAACTTGATACTGACCTATGGTGGATTTTCTAGGTATAAAGTACTCAGAAATAGTTCTTCAGCTCCCTCCTATAGTGGTACCCTCTCACCATGCAATTTTATCCAAGGCTACACAGACTGATCCTTCTCCAGGGAAGCACAGTGTGAAATCAAAATCCAAACCTCTTATTGTGAAACCAGGTGCTCCAACCCACTGAGAAATCTAAGCAAGTCAGAAGCCTCAGAAAAGTTTTGAATTGCCAGTAAAAGGCTATTATGACTCACTTCCAAGCTTGTTTCATGAAAGAATAGCTCTTCATAGATACTATAAGTGACTGTTTAGTCATTCCATGTTTCTAAAATTGGCCATTTCTAGCCTAAAATATTCTAGGAGATGGCTAAATAGCACTCATTCTTCTGGTGTCATGTTTCAGGTGAAACTTCTTTAATGGCTTAGGACCAATGGCCCTTTGATACTCATTCATTGCCCACCTAACTATAAATACTGTAAATTCAATTCTTAAAAAAAAACTCTTATAGAATCATAGAAAAGTGAAGTTGGAAGGGGCCCCTTTTTCTGCAGCCCCAACGCATTCCTATGGGGCTTGCAGTGTTTTATTTTTTATTTTATTTTGGGTTTTTTTGGGGGGGGCGGAATGGATTAATTGTGTTCCCATGCATTCCTATGGGAATGCTTGCTTCGACTTACAACCATTTCAAGTTACGTCCATCTTCTGAAACAGATTTTGGTCGTAAGTCGAGGCACCACTGTATTAAGTTTTGCCACTGGGGTGCTTCTATGCCTCGGAACATACTCAGAAAATGCACATCATAATCCTTTGGGGGGAATACCATGAGAAATGAGGAACAGAAATGATGTAACACTAGCTGTCAGTAGGCTGACCCCACTCTGGAATTCTCAGTGGATTCAGGAAATACAAGACAGAAATTAGTAATCTGTTGTTAGTCCCAACTAAAGGTTAGACCCATAGAAGGAAGTGCCAAATGGTAAGTCAACACTTACATAAATCGCTCTGAGTCAATGGTTCTACTGGAACCTTGGTTCTTAATTGGAACTAGCAATTGATATTGGAGATAGATACTTTATTCTATCCATAAGCAACTATAAACCCAACTCTACGTCCCACCCTTAATATGCAGGTATCCTCATGGAATATCCCAGTATTCACATAATGCAACAGACAAGAAGATTTGTTTCCTTAAAGATTCAATAAACCACAAAACATTTTGAACCACTAGAAGGGGGCAAGGAAAAGGAAGGAAGGAAGGAAGGAAGAAGTTTACAACAGAAAGCAACACTGATGGCTTTCAGACACAACAATGAAGATGTACATTCAAATGCTTCAGATATTCCACAAGCTTATATGTTTTTGAAAGGAGAGAAATACAGGAGAACCAATCACTCCATTACTACTTTGGACTTCTGCAACCTTCATTTGGAGAAGATCACTATCGTCAACTTAGTCACAAAAGCAATGCTCTTTGCTCTAAGCCAATAAAGGTTGTATAACCATGTTTTGTTCTCTAATTTAAAAATAAATCAATGAATCTCCTAAACATATCAGACAATATAAACCTTTTGTTGGACATGAGCCAACAAAATTGAATCTATGATCCAATTCTATTGTATGGTCTGTGTTCTGACTCATGTACCATTAACACAGTCTTTAATTGTGTATATGTTTCTGTGCCATCAAGTCAGAACAGACTTAGAGCAACCCTAGTAGGGCGTTCAAGGTAAGTCAGATGTTAAAGGAGTGCTTTTACTCATTTCACTCCCCAGTTAGTTTCCATGGCCAAGTTGGGATTCAAACCCTGTTCTCCAGAGTCCTAGCCATCAGTCTATCCACTACGTACTAATTACTTGCAACTAATAAATAAATGAAATAACTACAGTAGAAAGCATAACTCTTAAGGCAGCTTCAGACTTCTACCTGTGTTGCTTCTGATTGCTTATTCATGAATACAAGTCATGACTTGATGAGAAAGTCATCAAGGAATGAATATTACATGGAGACTCTTCCTGAGAATCCATGGAAGGGACAGGGCAGTGGGTTGCAGAGACGTTTAGTGAAAGAACACATTTAGTGCCAGAATTCATTCCAAATAAATTGTTTCATTCCTTTTTACTTCCCAGACATTATGTTATGCTATGCAACACTGGAATCATAATTTCAAAGGAAACCTCATCTTAGGAACCATGTGGGGAAAAACTGCTGTTAAACTACATGAAAATTAATATCTTAAGAGACCACAGCAACCTATCACAATGCATTTCATAATGTCAAACTAGCAGTAAAAATACCCACAAGATACAGGTATATTTATATATCTAACATTTCACTTCTCACCTGCAGTTCCAGAGAGTTCCACACTTAAAGTTTGTTCAATAGTCTTGTTCTCAAATGGGGAACCCTTGGGATCACTGGAAGACAGGGCACATTTATAAAAACAAGCTGAAATGGAGTTGCTGTAGCCAAAATGTGTTTAAAAACCCCTCCCTGTTGTAAATATTTACAGTTCTTGATACTTACTTTGGTGACTCAGGCGTCAAAGGAAGCGATAAACTCATTGGTTTGGCTGAAAGGACATTGGAGGGGAGAGAGAGAGAGGAAAAAAAAAGGAAAACCAAGTATGAAATAGGATGAAAGAAAGAACTAGAGTTTTTGTTTGTACCTTTTTTTTATTTTAGCAAGACTTAACAGGATGAGCCCATCACTCTCCCTTGCCTTTTAAAAAAAAGACACTGCATCACCAACACTCCATTTTACTAGACCAACTCCACAAAATGTGCTGCTGGCGTGCGCACACAACACTGGAATGTTTTTATATGCAATGAATTAAAGATGGGGATATTCATATTCATTTGCGAATATGAATATCCCTGTGCAGCTCAACCTAATGAGGGTCAGGCTGCCGGGACTGGACTGTCCACTTACATGTCCTGCTGCGGCACCAGTCCCACTCGTCCTGCTAAGAGCACCCGGAGCTCCACTCTCTTCCCACTCGGCTGGCCACTCCGCAACCATGCAGGGAGACTCATCCTCCTGCCCCAATGCCTGGAGTAGCCAGGTGAGCAGGAAGAGAGTGGAATTCTGGGCGCCAATGGCAAGATGAGAGTGACCTGGGCCACAGCAGGACATGCGAGTAGACAGCCCGGTCCTGGTGACCAGACCCTCATTAGGTCCAGCTGTGCAGGGAAACTCTTATTCATACACAAATATGAATATCCCCATCTCTACATAGAGTAAATATTACATGCTACAGTGGAGGAAAGGAATAAATAATTTGACAGTATTTCAGCAGCAGCCATGCCTACTGCATTGGGCAGGATTTAAAGCTGCTAGCAGAACTGTGAAATCCAGTAGAACCAGGACAGGGTGAATGCCCCTTCTCATTGCTAGGGTACTCTGCATTACTACAACTAGGTGTACAGGGCTGGAAATCCCTCTGGAAGCATTTTTATATGGTGCAGAAGGATGCAGTGGGTATACAAAAAGATGTTTTGGATCATCCACTAGAAGAACATTGGACTAAGCCCATTATGCCTCATTCTGGCATCTACCCATGTATTACAGACAACACAAACAACTTCTCCTGAACCATTCACTGCAGACTGATTTACATCAGCTGCCCAGTCTTTGTAATACAAATCAGAAGAAGTCAGAAAACTACGAAAAATGCAAAAAATGATACTGGGAAATGTGCTTCTTTCACATTTAATTCAGGCTACAGTTCATGTTTCACTTGGCTGTGACAGCAACAGTATAAGTACAAAGCAACAGAATTCTATGAATATTCAGTTGATTTTACTTGTACATGTACAGCTTTATATACAGTTCCAGGGAAATAGGTTGTTTCTGTGAGGCCAAGACCCAACCAAATGTGATAGAAGTGCTTGCAAATTGTTCCACAAACAGAGAAGAACATTGTAGATTTGACAATTCCAAGCTGAAATTTTGATATGTGGCTTTACCTGTCAAAGTGTAGCTTTTGGAGAAATGGAGGGCAAGTTGTTTTCTTGCTTGCTTGATTAACATCTACACAACTTTTTAAAATCTTTCTGTTTTTTAAAGGACACTCTTTCAGAGTCAGGGAAAGAGAAATAGCAATGAAGCTAAAATAGTGATCATAGAACAATAGAAAAGTGAAGTTGGAAGGGACCTACAAGGCTATCAAGTCCAAACCCCTGCTCAATGCAGGAATACAATCAAAGCATATCTGCCAGTTAACAGTTTTTCTTGAGTGCCTCCAGTGTTGGGGCACTCACCAACCCCCGAGATAACTGGTTCCACTGTCGTACTGCTCTAACAGTTAGGACGTTTCCCCTGATATTCAACTGAAATCTGGCTTCCTTTAACTCGAACCCACTGTTGCGTGTCCTGCGCTCTGGGATGATCGAGAACAGATCTTGCCCCTCCTCTGTATGATAGCCTTTCAAATATTTGAAAAGTGCTATCATATCACCCCTCAGTCTTCTTTTCTCAAGGCTAAACATGCCCAGTTCTTTCAGTCTTTCCTCACAAAGCTTGGTTTCCAGCCCCCTGATCATCCTTGTCGCCCCCCTCTGAACTTGTTCCAATTTGTTAGCATCCTTCTTGAAGTGTGGTGTTCAGAACTGGACACAATACTCAAGGTGAGACCTAATCAGTGTTGAATAGAGGGGGACCAGCATCAGGATTTGGAAACTATACTTCTATTAATGCAGCCTAAAATAGTATTTGCCTTTTTTGTAGCCACATCACACTGTTGGCTCATATTTAGCTTGTGATCTATGACAATTTCAAGAACCTTCTCGCTCGTAGTTTTGCTGAACAAGGTATCCCCCATCTTGTAAATGTGCAATTGTTTTCTTTTTCTGAGGTGCAGTACTTTGCACTTATCCCTGTTGAATTTCATTCCATTGCTTTCAGTCCCTCCATCCTATCAAGGTCATTTTGATTTTTTTTTCTGTCTTCTAGGGCAGTGGTTCTTAACCTTTGTTACTCAGATGCTTTTGAACTGCAACTCCCAGAAACCTCAGTCAGCACAGCTGGTGGTGCAGGCTTCTGGGAGTTGCAGTCCAAAACTCCTGAGTAATCCAAGGTTAAGAACCAGTGTTCTAGGGTATTAGCTAATCTGCCCAATTTTGCATCATCTGCAATTCTGACAAGCATTCCCTGCACTCCCTCATCCAAGTCATTAATAAAAAATATTGAAGAACACCGGGCCCAGGACTGAGCCTTGAGGTAACCCACTTGTTACCTCCTCCCAGTTAGAAAAGGAACCATTAATCATCACACAGGAAGTATGATTCTGTAGCCAATTGTGTATCCACCTGACACTTCATCTATCCAGCCCACACCTAGTTAGGTGCTTGGTGAAGCATTTCAGGATCACAGCTGCCTTCTCAGAGTGTCCATCTGCTACCTGACCCATTAGGATAGAGGTAGGGAAGTGGCCCTTCCAATGCTGTTCTCACTCCAGTCCTCCTCAGCTCTAGTTAGCTCAGCTGATGGTGAGGAATGATGGGATCAGTAGTTCAACGGTATCTAAATCATCAAAGATCCCTCACTGCCACATGAGGAGATGCTTATATATGGACATAAGATTATCTTGGTGCAGATATTTCATTCTCCAAGATGGCAATGGGTGGGTAGATCATTGGAAAAACACTGCGGAGGATGACGACATTAATTCCTTCTTTAGTACCACAGTCCCAACCCATATCAACAAACACAGCAGCTACCAGTAAAACATTCAAAAGAGATGTGAGATATGATGTTAGACCTCCATCATCTCATTGAGCTTGGTCAATGATTTTTAAATCACTGGCATTAGAATGTGTGAAAAGCTTCTGCTGAAAATGCCATTTTATATACAATGGTCCCTTGACTTACGAATGCCCTGACCTAAGAACGTTTTGAGTTACGGACAGCTCTGGATGTGAAATATTGCTTTGACTTACGAATGAAAAAAACGCGGAAGAGACGGGGAAAGCACGAAATTTGAACTTTCAGTTAACCGTTGGCCAGCAAAGAGGCTGCTTGTATGCTACCTCACTCATCCAAGCGGTTAGTGGTTAGCTAGGAAGAGAGTATTCAGTCAGCCTGGTACTGCCTTGTACACTATTGCCTGGTACTGTACTGTACGGACTCTACTGTATTTTTTAATTTTTAATTTTTGGATTTTTTTAGCTTTCTTTTTTAAAACAAAGAGACTGCCTGTTCTGGGTGAGTACACTATACTTACTGTACATGCAGGTTTTTTGCAGCATGGGGGGAATTTTTGCAAGGGTCTGTGCTGGCTGATGGAGGTCTAAATGCATTTTACTTGTCTGCATTTAAAATCAGAAATGGTGTTCCAAAGGTTTATTGGGCTGCTGCGGGTCTAAAATGAAGCTTAGACTAAAGTCTCTTCCCCCCCTCCCCGGTCTCTCTATGCTCTCTTTTTGTGATGAGGAGTTCTGTGCTGGAAGAATGCTTGCTGGTTGTTGGTGCAAGGAGGTTTTAAAATGCAGCTTAGACTCAGGTTTCTACCCCACCTCTATGCTCTTCTTTGGCGATGAGGCGGTCTGTGCTGGAATAATGGTTGCTGGATTCTGTGCCTTTTAGGGTTTATGTACTGTGGTGTCTTGAACCATAGTCATGGCTCCAAAGAAAGAACAGAGCAAAGGCAAAAAATAAAAATCATCTGCATTGAAATGAAAAAGGAAATCATCAAAAAGCATGAGCAGGGCATGCGTGTGACAGAACAGGCTGCGGAATACAAGATGGCAAAGTCAACCATTGGCACCATATTAAAGAAGAAAGATGTCTTGAAAGACATTAATGTGGCAAAAGGAGTCACAATCCTAACAAAGAAGATAAGATGGAAGAAGTGGAAAAATTTTTACTGGTCTGGATCAATGAGAAACAGCTAAAAGGGGAAAGCATCAGTGAAGCCATGATTTGTGGAAAAGTGAGGAAGCTGCACAGTGATTTAATGGAAAGAAACCTCTCCGGAAGTGCAGTGTAAGAAGAATTCAGAGCCAGCAGGGGGTGGTTTCAAAATTTCCAAAAGACAAGTGGCATCCACAGCATTACACGATATGGGGAGTCTGCAAGTTCTGACCATGATGCTGCAGAAGCCTTCAAGTTGGACTCTGCCAAATTCATCAAGGAAGAAGGCTACCTCCCCCAGCAAGTCTTCAACTGCGATAAGACAGAGTTGTTCTGGAAGAAGATGCCCATGAGAACCTACATCACTCAGGAGGAAGAGAAAATGCTGGGCCACAAACCCATGAAGGACAGAATGACCTTTTGTTCTGTGCCAACGCCACCGGTAATCTGAAGATCAAGCCTCTGCTGGTGTACCACTCCCAGACTCCTCGCCCATTCCAGCGAGAGAAAGTTAACAAGGCCACACTGCCTGTCATGTGGAGGGTCAAGTCAAGAGCTTGGATGACAAGGCAGCTGTTCCTGGAATGGCTCTACGAGGTCTTTGCACCCACTGTGAATAAATATCTTTGGGACAACCAGCTTCCTGAGAGGTGCCTTCTGCTGATGGACAATTTATTTATTTATCAATTTATCAATTTAAATATAAATTAAACAACTGGA